TTTCAATACTTGGTAGTTTGTAAAACATTAAGCTACATGTTTTAGCTGATTACATCTCTATGAGGCACCAAATGAAAAAATGATGTTTGTACAGAAAATGGATGGATGGATGGATGGATGTTTAAAAATGATCACTAACACATTTTCATTATTTAGCTCACCTTGGAAACACCATGGCTTCAGGTTTGGAGGTGCTGATCTTGAGAGATGAGAGTGCAAACCCAGGTTTTCATGTACTTTAGTTTCATTTTAGCTTCAAACATTCTATTTAAGATTGGAATGAAGAGTCTTTTAAACCTATTTGAGACTTACTTTTTATTTTGTGTCTCTCTGACTTTCTAAAGCGTGCAACCAGGGAGTGGCAGATACAGCTGCAATGGCAATATCAATATCTTAGCTGAAATTTGCTCCTGCATTATCTAAAACATGTGTTTTCTCAGCCTCTTCCTTCTCCAAACAGCACCGCACCYTGATGCATCCATCCCCTGCCAACACTAGAATCACTTATTCTGCAGCCTGGCTTCAGCTTCAGTCACAGCTGTGACTGTAATGAGTCAACTCTTTTAAATTAACAGCATGAGCCACACAATAGTTCACATCCCATTTGTTAGGGACTTAGCACCTGCTGCTTGTGATAAAATAATGATGAGTGAATCTGGGAACTGAATGGATTATATCATTTGACACCTGCACTCTAAATGAGATAATGGTGTTCTGTATTTTTAATGTGTCAGATAAGGCCTTCTGTGTAACTGTCGTACATTACAGGAGGGATTTGTTGGGAGCCCTGTAAGTCAGACAAAGCTGTACAATATTTTGTGTGTATTGACTAAAAAAAGCACAGGTTAAAACCTCCCATGATAGAACTATGAGCACGCACAGGACTCCCATAGTGATGTGGCGGTCAGCAGTGTTTGGAGGTCCTGGGTGGAGCATGGTGGCAGCACATCTATGATGAGGAATTCTGAAAAACTCTATCAGTTCATCATAGCAGCTAAAATGTTGACCTCACTTCATAGTTCAGTCCTCTGGGGATCCACTAAGCCAGCATGAGAACATCAGGACACCTGAACTTATTTTAATAGACATTTGACAATGTCTACCCTCATCCATGGTCACAAATTTTGGGTAGTGACCAAAAGAACAAGACTGAAGATACAAGTGATCAAAATGAGTTTTCTCTGTAGGGTAGCTGGACTCTCCCTTAGAGATAGGGTGAGAATTTCAGTTATCCTGGAGAGACTCAGAGTAGAGCCACTGCTCCTCCACATTGAGAGGAGCCAGTTGAGGTGGTTTGGGCATCTAGTAAGGATACCTCCTGGACGCCTCCCTAGGGAGGTGCTTCAGGCTTGTCCAACTGGGAGGAAGACCCAGGACACTCTGAAGGACATGTGTTTCTTGGCTGGCCTGGGAACACACTTGGGTCCTCCTGAAAGAGGTGTAAAGTGTGGTCTGGGCTTCCCTGCTCAAGCTGCTGCCCACTTCAAATAAAGTGGAAGATAATGGATGGATGGTTTGACAATAATTCACACCTTCTGCTGTTTTAAAGTCATGTTTATTTCCTCTTTTATCTCTGTGAGCAAAAACTGTCTAACTGGAGCTAAAGAATGAACTGTAATGAAAATATAAACTGGGTTTGTCTCCTGTGAATTGCAGGAAAGATGCACTCCTGCTGGAAAAAAAACTAACTCTTACATAATGACTTATGTACATTTTTAAGTACACTTTCTACCTATGCTATGCACTCAACATGTGGTTCTTTCCCTTTACAATCACACAGATAAGCATATAGAGATCATGAAGTGTTTGGTGCTTTGCCAAATGGTTACCATCCTCTAAAGCCCTGAAACATTCCAGCACTTTCAGGACCTTGGACAGTTCCTCCAGCCCTTTATGCTGTCTAAAGTCTTGAGCACTTTCAGGACCTTGGACAGTTCCTCTAGCCCTTTACACGTCTAAAGCAGGAATTCCCAACCAGGTGTATGTGAGCATATTACAGGGGATACATGGAAAATTTTTCCAGGTTTGAAAAATAAAATAAAAATAGGACTGAGATATGTAGGGCCCTATAATTTCCGCAGTGCGGAAATTGTAGATGGAATCACAGAATTAACAAATTTTGGAATCCAGTTTAAAATGTGGAATCTCACAGAATTTAATCATTTGGGTGAGTTTCTGATGTATTTTGGCACAGCTGTTTTCTGCACCTGCCATTACCTGGTTTATTTATTTATTTCTTATTTATTTATTTATTTATTTATTTATTTATTTATTTATTTATTTATTTATTTATTTATTTATTCATTCATTCATTCATTCATTCAATTTCAAGGTAACATTTTTATCTTTATGTTTAATTTGAGTTGGAAATAAAACACTCCATTTTTATTCACCAACTAATAGAAAGTAGGTTAATCTGAGCTTATGGATTCAGAACAATTTCTTTACCTGCTTGTTCCATCTGAAGAGGCCCGATCGGAGCCCAGTCTGGTGTTTGACGCTGAAATCAGAACCCACAGCCTCAGCATGGTTCTGTTCATTAGGCCCATGGCTCATTTCCTGCTCAATCCATCAGAGCAGTGGAGCTGTTAAATATAAAAGGCAAATAATAATGCAACACTTGTAAGCTTCAGTAAAATAAATGATTATAAACAGACTTTTATACACAGATGAATGATTTAGACTAAAATAAATTCACAGGAAAATGCATTTATATGATGAATAACAGTAAATATGTGTATTAAGTGATTAGGTTTTATTTTACAATGTTTACAATATTATTTAAACTGTTCTTTAAAAGGTCCAACCATTAGTTTTTTTTATATATAATTGCTTTTGTTCAGAGCAGCATTTAAACTGTTCTTTAAAAGGTCCAACCATTAGTTTTTTTTATATAATTGCTTTTGTTCAGAGCAGCATTTAGTCTTTGTGGATGTTGAGTCAAACACTGGCTGCAGGTTGACATAAAGCACATTTTTTGTAGCCATCAGAGTGTATAAAACAGAAAAAAACATATCCTGAGTTATAGAACGAAGCACAAGAAAATGTCACAGTGAACAGGAAAGTTAGTATGCCTGCAAGAAATGATAATCGTTTTTTTTTTTTTTTGTCACACCAGGGGTTCATTTTCTAGTTTATGTGTTTGCAATTAGAGCGTCTTTATGCTGGCAATAAACAAAGACAGTTATTAAGACACATTGCAAGCTGCAGCAGGGGAGGCGATAACATTATTTGCATACACTGAATCTATTTTCTGTTTTCTTCCTTTTGAAAATAATTTTCTGCTTTCTGCTGATGCTGCTGCAGAATATTCCGATGAGCAATAAAGCATAAACCTTAATACCTCTGTCTCACTTTTGTGTTTTTATAGTATATTTAGATAAAAATATCACAACCTCATCTCTTTATGTATGTAATTAACATATATAGTGTAATCGCCATAGAAGTGTGTACTGTAGATGATGAAAGTTATATAGACATGAGTCAACAATAAAGTTACACAATGTCATGCTTAGACAAACACTGTTTATTGGACATGGTCATTCCTCCTTTTTCTTCTTTTCATTAAAGCTGCARTTTAGGGATGTATTTCTTTGTGCTTTTAGGCAGAATATATAGCAGCCAGTGTTGTATAAAGTACTTCAAAGTGATACTTGAGTAAAAGTACAAGTATCTTATCATAAAAATACTTTGGTAAAAGTTAAAGTCTTCTCTAAAAATATTACTTGAGTAAAAGTACAAGTATCTTATCATAAAAATACTTTGGTAAAAGTTAAAGTCTTCTCTAAAATGATTACTTGAGTAAAAGTCTTAAAGTGTCTGATATGTTTTGTACTTAAGTATCAAAACTAAATTTCTGACACAAAATCTATTTATGTTTTACAAGTAAAAGTACTGAGTAAAAGTGAGCAGTTAGATTTTTCGAAAATGACATTTATTGGGAGGTGACTTCTCCAAAAAATATTTTTTTCTAATGGCGTGCAGCTGTGATGTGTTGTGTACAAGCTAATAGTGTGTCAGAATGGTATATATTTATACATCTCATCCAACCACAATTAAATTCTCTCTATCCAGGAGACACAATTTATCAGGATAGTATTTTTTAAGCAATAACAACTCGGAATAAAATAGGAGTAACGACTTTCTACTTCTTACCTTTTTAAAAAATGTAGTAAGTAGAAAGTACAGATAAATGTGTAAAAATGTAATAAGTAAAAGTAAAAAGTACGCTGAAAAATAATTACTCAAGTAAAGTATCCATCCATCCATCCATTTTCTTCCGCCTATCCGGGGTCGGGTCGCGGGGGCAGCAGCTTCAGAAGGGAGGCCCAGACCTCCCT